AGGAGCCGGAGATTACAAAAAGAATAGATAAGTGAGGGTCTGGATGAATTATTTAGAGCGTGTAAATGAAATATGTTCTGTATGTAGAAAGATGGTGAATTATAGGAATGAATTTTATTATTATCTACTGTTCTTTTACGGGGAAATTTGTTATGTGCGTCTGGCTTGTAATTACGAGTGATTATGGTGGTTATTGTATATTTTTAAACTGGTTTTTGTACAGCTCGGCTCTTAAGAAATACTATTCTATTGCAAAGCAATAAAGAATTGAGTATTGAAGTACTGATATTTTAAGTATTTTTTAAAGTTAATATTTTTCGTTGAGTATTTAGACTCTAAAAATCACCTCTATAGTATGTACATTCCCGTTAAGAATTTATTAAGTCATCACTGTCAGTCGACCTAGCCCCGTTCTTTAAAATGATTTTAAACACTTAAGTGTATTTTTATAAATTCATTAAACTTAATCTTTTAAAATATAATTTGTTTAAACTTCACATCACACTGAATTTTTAACGTGCACAAACTATAAAAGTATTAACTTTACACCCGAGAAGACGTTAAAATGTTACTCAAATTAAACAACCTTTACTTACAAAACCAGTAAAACAACTCAAAGGACCAATGCTCAGTCGACCGTAAAACCACTACGGAACTAGAATGTAAAGTATCCAAATATTTCAAGAAGTTCCTTCACATTATAAAGGACCTAATACTCTTTCGTAAAGTTTCGAGGTAAGCCCGTAATTAGACGAGCTTGTTGTAAACATCAAAGCCGATTTTATGAGATTCTCAACGAACAAGCTTGATAAAATATCTTTTATGTTGATCCCATAACGCGAGTTTGAACAAGTATCTCGCTAATTTGATTTTAATTAAATTTTAGTTCAATTAATAATTAGGTCATGTGCTACAAAGTTTGGAACTTTCGTGTTCGTGTTTATTTTTTGTTTTGTTTCCTTGAGTAACTGTTGTTATGATATTTACTTCGAGGGTCAATGTCAATTAAATGTGCTTATTACTCGTACTTATACATAACATAACATACCATCACGCCTTTTATTCCCGAAGGGGTAGGCAGAGGTGCACATTATGTCACTTAATGCCACTATACAATGTTACACCCACTTTTCACTATTTATGTTATGAGTCCCATGTAATAGGGGGTGAGCCTATTGCCATATACCGGGTACATTTCTAGTCTCCGTGCTACTACTGAGATTTTTAAAAATCCAGTAATACTCTGCCCGACCCGGGAATCGAACCCGAGACCCCTTGCCCGGGACTTGCGACCACTCGGCCAACGAGGCAGTCTTAGACGTACTTATACCTAAAATGATTATTATTAACCTATGCTACGGTCCACAATGTGTCATTTGATGATGATAACATGCAATGGTCTATCGTCGTGCTATCTATCCGATGATAGGCAGATCGATTAATGTTGCCACTTCGTGACCAGTTTTCATTGTTTCTAAACAAGATGCAAGCATTTTTCAGGTTTGGAATGCATAAATGTGGACAATGTAGGCGCTATAACATTTTTAAATATACTTCTACGACACTTTCCTGTTTCGTTGATATTTAAAATAAAACTCTCAATATTGCACAACCGCCAAAAATAACCAAAATATTTATAAAAATAAAATACAGTTTTTCTTCCGCATCCCTCAATAAGCTGTCTGAAACATAATAGTGTTGTCGATACCACATTTCCTGCGAATGTCGATAGATGGCAGATATTTCTGGCGGGCCGCCAAATTCAGGCGCGGCGTGTCAAAATAAATGGCCCCTTCGTAACTTTTATAATACTCGTAGTGTCATAAAATAAATGAGTTGTATTAATCGTGTCGTGTTTCTATGCCAATTAAATATAACAATATATTTCTGTCACTTTCTCTGCTATGGACATTCATTAAGTTCTTGTTTTTAGTCGTGTGTGTTGTTTTTTTTTTTTTGGAACTTTGTTTTATTGTCGTGTGATGAATGTGTTAGGTGTAATGCGTGTGTTTGTCTGGTTGAATACGTAATTAGTATGTTTGTTTTTATTAAAGGCAGAAAAGTTGTTTATAAAAACATGCACCTAATATTTTAAAATGGTGAATTTAAGATATGATGGAGAAAATAGCTTTTTTATTTATTTGTCACCTTGTGATGTAATAAAAAATGCATTGTTTTCTTTGGATTACATTTCAAAATTACTACATATTTTATTAGCGCTATAACCAACTAACGGAAAAAGTACAGACTCAATGACAATAAGATTTTCAACTTAATTATTTTAGTAAAAAAATAACAAAACTTTAGTAGAATTTTTTGATTTCGTGAAGTTAATTGTGTGATGTCAATTCAAAGACAATACAGTCAACAAACAATTTAAAAACAATAACAACAGAAATGCATTAGTATAGTATACACTATCGAGTGTATGAATCATGATGGTATCACATCACAGTCAGTTGTTCCAAGAATGGCAGCCCCATTAGGAACAATGAGGGGAACTGAAGCCGACACTCTTATTTAAAACCGACGAATTGATAGAAATAATTCATAGTAGGTACTTATTAATAACATTGTGTGGTTGTTTTTACTGCAGTTTGAATCTATACTAATATTATAAAGCTGAACAGTTTGTTTTTTGTTTGTTTGTTTGAACGCGCTAATCTCCAAAACTACTGATTCGAATTGAATAATTCATTTTGTGTTCGATAGTCCATTTATCAAGGCAGGCTATAGGCTATAAAACACCTCGCTGCAACCAATAGGAGCCGAGCAAAGCGGGTGAAACCGCGCGCAAGTACTTAGTGTTTTATATTTGGGATGCCTATCCCAAATGGATCACCTGATGATATAGCAATCAGCGTCGCCCATAGACATCCACATCACCAGAGGCGTTACAAATGCATTGCAGTTCTAATGGAGAGAGTGATGTTAAAAATGTATTTTGTTACTTTCTCTACAATATAGAAAAAGTTGTATCTTTTGCTTAATTTTTTAGGCGATAACAATACTAAATTACGTCAAGCATATTTAGTATCTACCATTAATGTATTTTACTATATTATATAAACCTAAATAAATAATACTCAGACAATGAAATTGTCTTTGACATGATTGACTAAAATAATTTCAAGATACTTTAGTAGAAAAACATTATGAGATAAAACAAAATAAATTATTCAATAATAATAAAATTGACAATTATGATGGCAGACTAGACAAAATATATTTGGAAAAATATGATTCGATTATTTGAAAATGTTCTGCCTTAATGTATTTTAAATGTAGGCTTTTAAAGACATTACTGAACTGTCAGACTCAAAGATTATACAAAGCCGGTTTTCCTAGAATCGAATTATTTGGATGTACCAAGGAAACATTTTGTATAATTTTATAATAAGACTTGTAATAACAAAACATAATATCACGCTTTTTTCTCCCCAAAGGGGCAGGCAGAAGAGCACTTTACAGCACTTAATGCCATTGTACAATGTAACATCCACTTTTCACTATTAATATCGCGATTAGCTGAACCGAATTTTAAAAATAAAGAGGGTGTCAAAGTCGGTTTTTTTAAACCTTGTTTATAAAAGAATTACTTAGATATTTATTTGACTTTTAAAAGTGTAACAGTACCAACCCTAGTTTTCAAACAAGGTTATCATAACCCATGAATAAAATAAAGGTCGGAACATTTACAAATTACCAAAACAACGCTTAGAATGTTCGCCGCAGATCTTTTCGAGGTGTGTACATCAAAAGTTTGCCCATTAACGTAACTAGTCGAGTTCTGTTCTGTATGAAGAGTACTGAAGAAAATTTATGAATATATAATTTATTTATCACTTAACTGTTATTTCGAGAACTTTCACATTATAAATACATTGGTAAGTTAAAGAAAATAAGCGGTATTTTGTCCTTCATATAGATTGGAATTCTTAACTAGTAAGATATCACAATTTTAATAAATGAAGACAGTAATATCCGAATATTCATTTAATTGAATCAGTTGATTACTAAATGTACTACGACTAGTTTTAAGCAAGAGCCCAAACTATAGACTCAAGAAACCAGTAGCAGCGCGACAGTCGCCGCGTCGTGTATCGCGGGATGCTACTCATGAATATGAGTCTCTAGCATGGTTTGAAACTAGTCAAGTTCCTCGTTAAACAGTTAGGTACGTGAATAAGCCGAAAATATACTAATTAATTTAATATACCTTACAAAAGTTACATGAACAATAATTTCCACTTCATATTGCACTTTTGAAAATTTTAATGATGCATATTATTTTAATTTGTGCAATGGATAACAAATGAATGATTATATGGTAATGATTGCGATTGGGTGAAGCGTTTCATAGAAATTACGGTAAAAGCACATTAGCTTTAATCATTTATTAACTGGTAAATAGAGGAAAACATAGTTCATTGTTTCCAATACTCCAATTCTACGTAAACCATTACAACTATTCGGTTAAATTTGAGGCTTTTGATGTGAAAATCAAAATATTCCGTGTAAACAGGATTTCAATATGAGCCGATGAAATGAATATCAAGTACCAAATACTCAAAACTTATTTTAAACATGGAAGCTCATGTTTTTGTAATACACCTCGAGTATTTTTACGTTAAGGAGGAAACATTTTATTTTACATTCACTAGTTGGCGCCACTTTTGTTTATAAACCTGCCTGTTATTTTTAACAGACCTATCGGTGCTATAGTGACGTAAAGTAGTACTACAAATTCTAAACTAAATAAAAGTCAATAACTGGAGCTACTTAACACAGACTGATGTGAAAATAAACACTATTACCGAATATTTCAAACAGGTAAACTTGGAGGATATTTTTTGAGCAACGAGAAACTATTATTCAAAAATGGCTCCCAATTTGAACGGAACTGACTACCATCTAATTTAAAGGGACTTACTTGGAAGACGTGAAATGAGGGCCTCATCTATTTTAAGTGCCAAACGAAAGTGAAATTTAATACTCACCATAAACTTTCGACCACTGAGCAGGCGGTCTCCAATCCGGGTAATGTTTCGGGAATTTGTCTCTCGTCCAGTATGTATGCAGCACCATTTTATATACAGTCATTTTATCCGGGTTGCACACATCATTATCACCGGCTGCCGCTGCGGCAAGCGCCGGCAGCAACATCACTAGTAACAACCGCGCCATATCGATATCGGCTATCGACACTGTCACAACACTAAGGCATAGTGGTTGATGTCACAACATTTCACCTTTGTACCTGTAAGAAAAATATTTATCATCTTAGTGTGACACGAAAATATAAAAGTAATTCACACGAAAATATTAAGCATGTTTGCAGCTGAAATTGTTAACTGAAAGTTAGATAAACATACAATATTTTCAATATTTTGCTTTGACTTAAAGAAAATTTTAATTTAAAGTATACTACTAATGGCTGATTTTTCCAATGCCTTATAAATTTAAACTAAGATATATCAATCTTATTCTACAGTTATGAATTAACTGACGATTGAAAAATGAACTCTAAGTAGGTTAAATTACGTTTTAGATTAATAAATATATTTTTATCTACAAAATCTGTCTTACAGCCTTTGAACTTGACAATAAAATGTAAGTATAAGTAGATAAATAGCAAGTTGTACAAAACTATTTTTGTATTTAATTAGGACCAATATAATTAGGACTAGTACTAATTAGGACTACTCCTAATTATAATAGATATAATTAACGTCTAAATCGAGTCAACATTTACTTCTCATCTCCTACCGTCACGCATATTTACTCCTACATTCTCTTACGTCGAACGAATGAATGAACGTGTACTGAAGTAGGTGCTCCTCTACTCTGGGTGAACGACCGATCTATTTCTGTCCCTTTGAGGTGAGATATTCGATGGATTTCTACACAACTTTTGACGCGTCTCCAAGTATTAGGCACTTGACTTAAAGGTGTCTTATTTTTCTTTAGAAATTCTAGCTTTTCTGAAGTTCTGTTCAGTCAATGTTTTGAAGTGTTTTGTTTTGTTTTATAACAACTTTTTGTCGAGATTTTTTTATGGAAATAGTCGTTTGATGATTTAGTTATGATTATTTTATTAGAGTTAATATTATTGTATATTGTGATTAATAAGAGAAAGTATTATGAATTAATAATTATATAAATGTTTTTCCAATTCAATAGGTACAGTTGAGTCGTATACCATTGCGAGCTATGATCTAACACAACAAACCAGCATGTACCTATAAAAAAACATTTTTACAAAACGACCTTTCCCCACACAATACCGCTATTAGAATGAGTTTACCTTAACTTACGCATACATATACCTGCATATTTATTTAACAATTTGCTACATATACTCTTGTTAAAACCACAAACTGAAAGCTTCGTGAAAAAGGCTATTTGTAAAGCAAACTCCGACTTAATTGTTACAAGCGATATAGGTTACATTCGACTTTAAAAAAATACATGGGTATTCCAGCAGGCATATTTTATATCTGTGTAAACGGCAACGTTCGGTAGTGTAGTTAATTTTTATTGTACGCCGCTATTTTAGTGGCCAGCCAGTTTATTTATTTTTATTGTCTATGTATTTTTATACCATGGAGTTTCAAATGTGTTTCAGTTGTTAATGATATGTTTATTAAAACGTTCTTCAAGTGTATCCATATTTATGACTGTTTCTAATTAAGATGTTTGTCTGACTTTCAGCTTTGATAACTGATTTTGAAATAAATGTTTTAAATGGGCTTGTTATGGTCGATTTTTCTTTATTTGTAGGAAGAACAGATTGCTTAAACTCTACATTTTCTTTTTATATATGACACATTTTTTTACATAACAATAATCTGCACACACCACAAAATATCACTGGCCATGCACAAAATAATGCTGCACATGGCAAAAAAAAAAACTCCGAGTTATCATATTGAGTGATCATAAATATTCGCTGGCCAGTACGTTGTACGTTGTCTATGAAGGGTGGTCGACCTCTTTTTGCCAATACTTCAAAAAGAGTGTGCTGACGTAATGTCACGTCAGTATATTCCTTTATTTGGAGCTATTCGTTATGCGTTCCACGTTTAAAATAAAGGCGGGAAGAGGCATATTGTAGGGGATATGACATGCTTAGTATGGGCCCATAGGGTTGTTTTGTGTGTTATATTGGATAAGGTAAACCAGAATACAGGGTTTTATGAGATTTACAACTAAAAAAATTCCCAAAAATTATTATTGGAGTTTTGTAACAAAAAAAAAAGAATTTAAAATAATCCCGTATGCACGATGCTCATAAATCATGATATTCATAATTCTGCATACATACTGGGAAAAAAGAGGAATTAAAATAATCATCATTGTATTTAAAGGCAAGCGAAATATCGAACAAAATACAAATGATAAAAAAATTCTACTGATTTTATTACACAAAGTTACTATATACCTCTATGTCCTTTTGTAATGGAATGAAACTTTTAACAAAACTGACTAAATATGTCATATAAAAAAATAAATCTATAACATCGACAAGTATAGCAAAAACCTTTCAACTAGGAACTAAATGGAACAAAATTTAATTCGTGGGTTCATAGCACATAAAATTCAATGGACGTTGTGTTGAGCTAACTTTTTATAGACCGGCGTACAAACGACGGAGGTTATTGGGCGTCACCATTAGTTCGTGATTACAATCTAGGTACCTAGTAAATGTTTTAGCGTTTGTGTAAAAGTTTGTACCTAAGTGCTAATAGTGATGTAGGTTTCTAATTGAGATATTATATCCTAAGATTGTTTTATGGAATAGGAGGCAGCGGACGTATCACTTGATGGTAAGCGATTAGTGCCGCCCATGGACACCTGCAACACCAGAGGAGTAACAGGTGCGTTGCCGGCCTTTTAAAAAGGAATACTATTTTTTTATTGCATAGTAATGATTATATTTAGACACCTGGTAGATCCTGTATATCCACTAGTTGCTGATTGAAGTAAATAGGCAAACCAAAATAAATCTATAAAAAACACAAAACGTGTTTTTTTAACAACTGGAGCTATTGGACTAACTATTATGTTTTTAAATCTATACTATAATATTATAAAGATTACATACGTTTCTTTAGTCTCATATCCAACATATTGTAGCATTGAAAAATCGACCTTATATAAAGATATTATTAGAACACAAACAAGAAAGATTGGTAATAATATAAAGTTATTGAAATAGGTATATGGAAAAGTCTTTTCAGCTTTATTCCATATTCGGAACTTATAAGAACCTCCCACGCAATTCTACATAAGGTCAGAAAATAAGTCTACAATAATAAACATAAATTATTATGTTTTCGGCTTACTCACGTATTTATTTGACGAGGAACTCGACTAGTTTCAAGCCATGCTAGACTCATATTCATGAGCAGCATGAGCCTCTAGCATGATAAAGGGTGAGCCTATTGTCTTATACCGTAATTCCACGCTACTACTAAGAATTTAAAAACAACCGGTAATACTTTTTCCGACCCGAGAATCGAACCCGAGACCTTTTGCCCGGCAGTCTCACTGGCGACCACTCGGCCAAAATAAGCCAAGTAACAGTATTTTTCAAAACAATCTAAATTTCTCACAGACAAAGCCGGGAGTTGAAGCTTTAATACCAAAGTAATCACCTCACTATATTTTACGTCTCCTTTTTCAATGAACGCGGTAACGTTTGCAGTTTGAAAAGAATTAACTCGCGTGATCAGAATATATTTGGAGAACGCTAGAATGTTGGTCTTTATTGAATTCAATTAAAGTGCTTTTTACGGCAACGTTGAATGGTACTCGATGTAGAATATTGTGATTTCAGTTCGATGTGTTACAAAGTAAAATTGGACTCTAAGAGTTTCACAAAAGGTGTATAATTATAGCTTACAGATATGAAATATTGTCTTTAAATAATTTTATATTTTTTTTCAATATGCCGGTTATTCACGTGAATATACTGAGCAAATCTCTACTAGTTTCGAACCACAGAGGGGTTCTTCCTCATGAGCCTCATGTGGTTCGAAACTACTAGAGCTTTTTAGTTAATTTAGTATGTCTCACGATAGTTATTATAAAAACATCTTTCTGGAAAGCCGTTAAAAGTTATTTTCCTTTGATACTAGAGACAGAAATAATAGAAAAAAGCAAAACTAAAACTTTAAGCTGAACACTCTTGCGTTACGATTTTTATAAATACATGTGTAATTAAAAAATACAAACTATATAAATATGCTAATATTAACAAAACCACACCTTAAACACGTATTTACCTGTTTAATTCCCAAAATGTATTCTCGGTTATTTTGTATATTTTTAAATTGAGGTTCGTCTAACAAATAAAAATATTGATAGGCTTGCCTTCCCAGAGGACCTAATACTGACGTACCTAGACCGGGTTTTATATTTATTTTTTTGATAAAATGAAATATTGGTACGATATTATTATATGTATCCTTCGGGGATTGGTACGTGACGGCCATATTGTGCGGCAAATCATATTTTTTTTAAACGCTAGACCTGAATTTTAGGTATTTAATCAGTCGGTATTTTTTATCAAACGTTTGTTCGTTGCTAAAACTCATTATACTGTATTTTTTCCTTTTATATTCGATTTTTTCAAAGAAAAGTATGTTATCTCGGAGGCTTTTTTATTCCTATAACACGACTTTATGGTCAGTTATTCTGTTTACCTTCATAAAACTAACAAATCGCTATCTTTAAACGTATATAAATTGTAGGATGTATTATTGATTTGTCAAAATATTTCAAACAAGCAAATTCTCAGAATCAAAATCATCATCTCCATCTTAAACTCAGTATTCAGAATAATAATAATTATAACAAAACAAACTTTTTAAATTAAAGTTTCCACAACCTAAAATCGTAGTATTAGTTTGTTTCGAAAATTAATCCCTATTTTAATCTCCTCACGATACAGATTCGCAAAACTTTAATATTCTGATTTAAATACTTAATTGTACTTCTATGTTGTTATAGACACTATTATCATAATTTTGGGGTAACTTTCAAAGAAGCATTAAACTTTAAGATCGTTTAAGATGATTGCGAGCTGACTTTGCAGCGTTGAGACCACTAAATGTATTCAAAATGAATTTATTGTGATGTATTGTTTAGATATTTTAGGACTTCGGACCCATATTACTAAA